AGGATCCTGGGATGGTCTTCCAAGACGAAGCCACGGCCTTGGGGCACCATGATGGACCTGGTCAAGATGAAGGATCCCGGTAGAGTCCTCCAAGATGAAGCCATGGCCTTGGGGCACCATGATGGTCCTGGGCCAGGATAAGGATCCTGGGATGGTTTTCCAAGATGAAGCCATGGCGTTGGGGCACCATGATGAACTTGGGCCAGGATAAGGATCCTGGGATGGTCTTCCAAGACGAAGCCATGGCCTTGGGGCACCACGATGGACCTGGTCAAGATGAAGGATCCCGGTAGAGTCCTCCAAGATGAAGCCATGGCCTTGGGGCACCACGATGGTCCTGGGCCAGGAGGAGGATCCTGGGATGGTCTTCCAAGATGAAGCCACGGGCTTGGGGCACCACGATGGACCTGGTCAAGATGAAGGATCCCGGTAGAGTCCTCCAAGACGAAGCCACAGCCTTGGGGCACCACGATGGACTTGGGTCAAGATGAAGGATCCCGGTAGAGTCCTCCAAGACGAAGCCATGGCCTCGCGGCACGCTGACAGACCTGGCCCATGCTGAGGCACCCCAGCCTGGGTCGGCAGAGGTCTCAGGCAAGATGGGTGCGCTGGTGCTTGCTAAAGGCTGAGCTCCACCCGAAGGTCTTGCCGCACTGGGCGCAGCGGTAAGGCCGCTCGCCGGTGTGGGTGTGCCGGTGCTCCAGGAGGTTGGCGCTCTGCCGGAAGCTCTTGCCGCAGTCCCCGCAACGGTAGGGCCGCTCGCCGGTGTGGGTACGCCGGTGTTTGGCCAGGTGGGAGTTCTGGCAGAAGCTCTTGCCGCACAGCCCGCAGGTGTAGGGTCGCTCGCCGGTGTGGGTCCGCTGGTGCTGGATGAGGTTGGAGCTTTGCCGGAACGCCTTCCCGCACTCGGTGCAGCGGTAGGGCCGCTCGCCGGTGTGCGTCAACCTGTGCTTGGCCAGGTAAGAGCCGAGGGCGAAGCCCTTGCCGCAGAGCGGGCAGAAGTGCCGCTCGCCCGCCCCGTGGGTCCGCCGGTGCTCGGCCAGGTTGGAGCTCTGGCTGAAGATCTTGCCGCACTCGGGGCACTTGTAGGGTTTCTCGCCGGTGTGGGTTACCTGGTGCCGGAGGAGCTTGGAGCTCTGCCCGAAGGCTTTGCCGCACTCCGGGCACTTGTAGGGTTTGGCGGGCGGGCGGCAAGCCCGGAGGTGCCGGGCTAACCGGCAGCTCCAGAGGAAGGCGGCTCCGCAATGGGGACATCCCAACGGCTGCTCCGGTTGGTGATGCCGCAGCCCGGCCGGCTGAGCGTAGGCTTTGCCGCAAGCCTCGCAGCGGTAAGGTTTGGCCGCCGGACCGTGCCGTCGCCGGCGGTGCCGGGCCAGCTGGGCGCTGCC